TAATTTATCTTTCTTGTTATGACTTCAGCCTTTGATGACATGGTGCTAAAGGGTCAGTTATCTTTAACAGACTTCCTTCTGCTCTTCCTCTTGGGTTATCAGTCCAATTCCTTGTGTCAGCCTACAGGGGGCGTTGCTCAGTCTCCTCCTACCTCTTTACTCCTCCCTCTCTAGGTAGGCCTCCCTCTGTTGGCAGGGATAAAGCACATGGGGAATAACTGTGTCCTCTGGGAAAGCTGTGTGGTAACACCTCTGAGGAAAGATGAGGTCGGGAGCTCACTGTTACTCCGTGGTTGATGAAAAGGTAGTGATATAAAAGATCAATAACTAAACAAATATATAATTTAACTTTCCAAAAATTTTGAAGATAAACAGCTTAAAAGTTTAAATTAATTAGTTAAAATGTAGATTAAAAAAACTAAATCTAAAAATAAATGTATAAGTAAATGTGAAAGGTGGTGATGGCCCCATGTGGGAAGGTAAAGTGGATAAGCTCCAATCGATGCCTGTCCTTCTCCAAGCATCTCTGCACTGGGCCCTTCCTCCCAGGGCAGGCAAGAAGGAGAATAAGCTGGGTTGATTTTTTTTCCCCTTTAGTTCTCACAGGTTGAGAAGACCATAGCATCTTCAAGCATGTCCTCCCATTCTTTCCCCATGACCTTTCCATATCTTCCCCTCTCTCATCCAATTTCCAGTCTTTCTGCTCTCATTTTGGCTGATGACTTTGTACCACATAGGGACTCCCTCATCTTACCACAACCAAATCTACAAGTGCTCTGGCATTAAAACCATCTTTTACTTTGGCTCACCTGCTGAAAAGGAGGATGTGTCTCAAGGTCTCTGGATTTCATCCCATCTCAACTTCTCTAAGATTTGGACCTTTCAGTTATCCTGTTTCATGCATCTTCAACTGTTTGCTTTCTATAGATCATTTCCTTCAGCGTACAAACATTTCCTTTTTTTTTTTTTGGTTGCATTGGGTCTTCGTTGCTGCGCAGGGGCCTTCTCTAGTTGCGGCAGGTGGGGGCTACTCTTCGTCGCGGTGCACAGGCTTCTCATTGCGGTGGCTTCTCTTGTTGCAGAGCACAGGCTCTAGGTGCGCGGGCTTCAGTAGTTGTGGCACACGGGCTCAGTAGTTGTGGCGCACGGGCTCTAGAGCGCAGGCTCAGTAGTTGTGGCGCACGGGCTTAGTTGCTTCGCGGCACATGGGATCTTCCTGGACCAGGGCTCGAACCCATGTTCCCTGCATTGGCAGGCGGATTCTTAACCACTGCGCCACCAGGGAAGTCCCCAAACATTTCCTTTTATCTTCAACTGTAGATAATAGTCTCCTGTGACAAACGCCCCTGCCCCAAACCCCCTTCAGCAATCATGCTACTCTTATGCTCACATTTGCAGCCAAATTTCTTTTACCAGTTGTCAGCATATGCCATCTCTAGTTTCTAACCTCCCATTCACATCTTCTGATCTGGCTTCTGCACCTACCATTTCACCAAAACTATTTTTGTCAGTGATAACTCTGTCACTTAATCTAATGAACATCTGATTAAACCTCTCAGTAGCTATCAATACAGCTGACCACTCCCCCATTCTTGAACCTGCCTTTTTCTTAGTTTCTCTGATGCCAAAAATGCTCTTGGATTTTCTCCAACTTCATTTATCAATCCATTTCACTCTTTCTTTTTTTTTTAGTGTGGAATATTTTAACACATTCTTAGAAATAAAGAATTATAGAGGAAAGTGGTTATCACAAGGAAGAGAAATCAAAACCATAGAATAATTTCACTCTCTTTTATTGCCTCCTCTCCATCCTGCTAAACTCGAAACATAAGAATTTGTCAGAGCTTGGTCCTAAGTTCTCTTTTATCTCTCTACACTGTTTATCCAGGTGAGTTCATTGATTTCCTTGGCTTCAAATACAATCTATAGGCCAATGGCTCCTAAACTTACTGCTTTAGTTCAGAGCTCTTTTCTGAAATATATACTTTTATATCAAGTGCATCCTTGACTTATTCACTTTGATGTCCCAAAGAGGTCTGAAACCTCTCATGATTAAAACTAACCTAGAAGAACTCACTCTATGTGCTTTTGAGACTTGATATAAAGCAACCAAGTCAGTGGAGGATTAGCAAAAAATAGATATATAGATCAATGGACCCATACATATTTGGCCAATTGACTTTTTTTTAAAGATTTTTTTTATGTAGACCATTTTAAAAGTATTTATTGAATTTGTTACAATACTGCTTCTGTTTTATGTTTTGGTTATTTGGCTGTGAGGCATGTGGGATCTTAGCTCCCCAACCAGGGATTGAACCTGCACCCTTGGAAGGTGAAGTCTCAACCACTGGACCACCAGGGAAGTCCCAGCCAATTGACTTTTGAGAAAAATATCAAAACAATTCAATGGTGAAAGAATAATCTTTTCAACAAATGATGTTGAAACAATTGGCCATCCATACACAAAAAAGATGGACTTCAACCCATACCTCACACCATATGCAAAAAATAACTCAAAATGAATCAAAGACATAAAAGTAAAACCTGAAATTATAAAACTTCTAGAAGAAAAATGTAGGAGAAAACCTTTGTTACTTGGGTTAATCAAACATTTCTTAGCTAGAACACAGAAAGCACAAACCATAAGAGGTAAAAATTGATAAACTGAATTTATCAAAATTAAATACTCCTGCTCTTTTAAAAACACCATTAGAAAAATGAAAATCCAAAGAATGAATTAAAATATTTGCAAAACACATATTTGACAAAGGGCTAGTATCCAAAATATATTAAGAACTCTCACAGATCAATAACAAGAAAACAAACAACCATTTAAAAACAAAAAAAAAAAGTGGGCTTCTCTGGTGGCACAGTGGTTGAGAGTCTGCCTGCCGATTCAGGGGACACGGGTTCGTGCCCCGGTCCGGGAAGATCCCACATACCGCAGAGCGGCTGGGCCCGTGAGCCATGGCTGCTGAGCCTGCACGTCCGGAGCCTGTGCTCCGCAACGGGAGAGGCCAAAAAAGTGAGAGGCCTGCGTACCGCAAAAAAAAAAAAAAAAGCAGCAAAAGAAATGAACAGATATTTCACCAAAGTGAACACACAGCTGGCAGACAAATACATGAAAACAGACTCAATGTCTTTGGTCATTAGACGAATTCAAATTAAAAGCATAATGAGATGCTATTAATACTTATTATAATGGCTAAAACAATTTTTAAAAATCTGACATTACGAAGTTCTGACAAGGATGGAGGATAACAGGAACTCTTACACACTGCTGGAGGAAATGCAAAAGGGTACAAGCACTTTGGAAAACAGTTTGGCAGTTTCTTATAAACTTACCATACAACCCATCTTCCCACTCCTAGGTGTTTACCCAAGTGAAATGAAACATGTCCATACAAGAACGTGTATGCAAATGTTTATAGCAGCTTTTTTCTAAATTGTCAAAAACTAGAAGCAATCCAAATGCCCCACTACTAGGGAGTGAATAAACTGTGTTACATCTATACACGGAATACTATTCAGCAATAAAAAGGTCTGATTTACTGGTGAGTGCAGTCACATTGATGAATCTCAAATGCATTATGCTACACTGGAGAAACCAGCCTCAAAAGGTTACATATTGTATAATTTAATTAATATGACATTCTGAAAAGATGAAACTAAAGGGACAGAAAACAGATCAACAGTTGCCAGGGGTCGGGGGAGAGTGAGGGAATTAACTACCAAGGGCATCGGGGGATTTTTTGAGATAATTGTGGTGAATGGTTTCACGACTATCTATGACTCAAAAACAGTGAATTTACGGTATATAAATTATACCTCTGTAAACCCAACTTAAAAAAAATGGTATAACGATCTTCCCCACATACATGCTTCTTCCCCAAGTTTTCCCATCTTAAAAAATGGCATCACTATCCAGCCATTTTCTAAAGCCAGAAACCTGGCAATGATTCTTGAAACTTCCTTTTCTGTCACCCAGCCCCACCCCCACCTATATCAAATCCATCTCCAAGTCCCACCAATTCTGCTTCTAAAACATATTGCAAACCCATTTTCTAATTTTCCTATCCAAGCTTTCCCCTTAGTGCAAATCGTCATCCCCCCCACCTACACTATTGCAAGAGTTTCCCTGCTGGTCTCCCTGCTTCCATTCTTGGCCTTCTCCAACCCAGGTTATGAATGACCCCATATTGATGATCTTAAGTGAAAATTAAACCGTGTCATTGCCTTGCTTTAAACTTTTCAGTGGCTCCATTTCTAAACCCCACACTTGGCACCCATCAGGCCATATATGATCTGACACATCCAATGTCATCTGGCAGCACTACCCTCTACCCTCTTATCCCTCCCCCCCCCCCCCCATGATACTCTGGCCATACTGGCCTTCTTCCATGTGTTGGATATTCCAAGTTTTTTGCTCCCCTAGCAACTTTGCACATGCTATTCCCTATCCCTAGACTTTTCTTCTTTGCTCTTGTTTTTAATGGCCAGCTCCTTCTCATTATAAAGTTTCAGCTTAAATATTGTATCTTTAGAGAAGTTTTATACATTTTATAATAGTTTACTCCTGACGTTCTCTTTCATAGCACCTTATTTTGCTCCTTTCCCAATTTACAGTTATGTATTTATAATTTATTTCATCAATATTCATCTCCCCTACTAGAATATAAGCTCCTAGAAGTCAGAAACTATTTTCTCTTTTTACTTTCTTAGCACATTACCTGACATCATAGAAGCTAATAAATATTTGTTAAATAAATGTGTTAATTAACGAGACTCCTACAATTAAAACAGTAATAAGAATTCAATGTGATCATCACTGAATGACTGGGGCCAACATAACTATCTCTCTACATATTTTTAGGGCCCCCTGAATTAGGCTTAATGAATAGAGATATGTACTACATTGCCAGAGGTAAGTAAGGGTCACCAATTTTCAAAACCATGACTGGGCAAGTAGATGACAATGTCAGCCACCCAGAAAGGCTTACCTCTCCAAACCAATTGCTTGGCACAGAGGATGGAGCTTGGAGTTGTACAGAAGTGTAAAGCTGTGTGTCCACTTAAGGAGTAGCAATTGAGCTTTGCTCCACGGTCACAGAGAATCTTAACACAATCCAAGTTGGCCATTTCACAAGCCACATGAAGAGGGGTTTTCCCATTAGGTCTACAGTTGATTGTAGCATTGTGGTCCAATAGCACCAGAAGACATTCCACGTGACCAAACAAGACAGAGAGATGCAGGCCCGTGGCCCAGGAAGACTTTAATTTGTAACTAGGCAACCAATAACCTGAAAAAAGAAAGGGAGAGAAAGTTTAACTTCTTGGCCTAGGATTTCTCCCTGTGAGAATTAGTGAGGATTTTTACAAAGTATTTTACTTTCGTCACATTTATAAAATTGGGGGATGATTTGGAAGTTGTAAACTAGTGGCTGATGAATCCGCAAATGTTTAGCTTAGTAGTGTGTTTGGATTACTTAACTGGGACAGGGGCTTTCTACTACTCCCTATTATCTTGGTCCTTCATTTACTTTACCTTCCTGGCTGTCCAAGGCATTTGTGTTTGAGACCTTTATTTATGTGACTGCATGTTATTTTACGTGATGATTTACATGACATTCTTATTAAAGATGTTTTTTTAACTCCCAATCATTGTCTTGAATGATTCCAAAGCTGTTACTTACAAGCTTATAATTTTCATTCCATCACAGCTCTTTTTCCCTCTAGTTGTTGCTATTGTCAAGCTAAGGTATGAATGTATTTGATGTCTTTAGAAAATTTGTCACACCAAGATTTTATTTGCTTGTCTATCAGTTTATACAACACCTCTTTCCGAAGAAGAATTAAGAAGAATTTATAGCAGCTTGCAAATTTTACACAAGATTTTTATTTTAATGATCTAGAAAATAAGGGCAAAGGAAAAAATAAGGAAGGCAAAATAAGGAAGGAAAATAAAAAGAGGTCCAGGGTCAGATAGGTACCCAAAATATAAACTGTGTTGTATATATGCTAGAACCACACTGTAAATTTGCCTTTGAACTTCCCAGCAGCCAAAATAAACAGGAAAACATGATGTGTTGCACAATTAACTATGCCCACAAGCTATACACAAATTAATTGGTCAGGAGAAGCATAGTTGTTCCTAGAACTGAGATCTTAAATAAAAATTTCCCATTAGCTGTTGGAAATCTCTCTCTCTCTCTCCTCCCACCCTCCCTCCCTCTCACCCTCTCTCTCTCTTTCCTTTTTCCCTCTTACCTCTGACTTCTAAACACTGAACTAGTCCCTTTTTCCCAAGTGTCCAATGATTGCCATTTTGACAAGCTATAAAAAAGATAACTTTATAAATCTTTTTTTCAATGTCAATACCCAGAGCCACGGCATTAAGCTCACTATGAGTGGAGAATGGAAAATAGGTACAGAAAGATGAAATATTTAATGGCAAGATGAAGATGTAGATATAGCTCAACAGCTTAGAAGAGACTCTAGGGTGGAAGCAACAATATAAATTTTAATATGGATAAATCAGAAGTTTGTTTTTACAATAGGTTGTAAAAATTCCACTATGCGAGTACAAAGTAAGCAGATTATGAGTTTCTTTATTTTTCTTAGATTTTTTTGGGAAAGATCGTCTTTATTTATTTATTTAATATTTTGGCTGCACCGCGTGGGATATGGGATCTTCGTTCCCCAACCAGGTATTGAACACACGTCCCCTGCATTGGAAGTGCGGAGTCTTAACCACTGAACCACCGGGGAAGTCCCAGCAGATTATGATTTAATGGTAATTAATTTGAGGAAAAACCTAAGTATTTGAGTTGACAATAATCTAGAAATGAGCCAACAGTAAGATGAAGCCGCCCAAATGCTGATACAATCTTTAGCTACATTAATAGGGTACAGCACCCAGAACAAGAGAAGTACAAGTTGTATTCTTCACTGATTAGATGAGGTCAGAAAAATCTAAAATATTGTGAATACTTCTGGGCAACAAAAATGAGCATCTGGAGGGCACTCAGAGGATGATGACCACGTTAAAGGTGGGCCTGGTGATTAGGTATTAAAAGTCTCTCAATTAAGTGAAAAGAACTACCTATGCACGACTCCTGGGTATTTATCCTACAAGTACACTCACTCATGTGTGAAATGCCATATAAGGGCCACTGTATTACACAACTCCCAGGAACACTACTTGCATTGAACTCTTTATGAAGAGTATGAAGTTCCTGGGAGTTATAAATCCTGGTAACCTGGCCCAGGACAACAACATGCACTACACTACAGCATTGTTCTTAATGGTTAGTGATTGGAAACAACCTCAATCTTCATCAACAGGAGACTGCTTAAATAAAGTATGTACATCCGTACAGTGGAACACTATACAGCCATTACAAAGAAGGGGGCGGTTCTGTGTATACTGGTATGGAAAAAATCTCAAGATATATTATTGAATGAGAGAAGCAGGGAGCCAAAGAGTGTGCATAAAGGCTAACAGGTAAGAAAATATTTATAAACACCTAACACAAGAAACTGGTTGCACTGGTGGGGACTGGGGGACAAGAACATAGATTTACTTATCCTTCAATGGTCCCCTTGAGCTTTTAAATTTAGTACCTTGTGCGTGTATTACTATTTATAAAAATAAATAAAATTAAAATAAACTGTTGTGCTCCTGGCCAGGAGGAAAAATAATTTAGTTTAAAAAGGCCATTTAGGGCTACCCTGGTGGTGCAGTGGTTGAGAATGTGTCTGCCAGTGCAGGGGACACGGGTTCAAGCCCTGGTCCAGGAAGATGCCACATGCTGTGGAGCAACTAAGCCCGTGAGCCACAACTGCTGAACCTGCACTCTAGAGCCCATAAGCCGCAACTACTGAAGCCCACGCGTCTAGAGCCCGTGCTCCGCAACAAGATAAACCACTGCAATGAGAAACCCGTGCACTGCCAACGAAAAGTAGCCCCTGCTCGCCACAATTAGAGAAAGCCCATGCACAGCAATGAAGACCAAACGCAGCGAAAAATAAATAAATTTATATTTTTTAAAAAAGAGGTTATTTATAGGGTTATGCACAATGCTGATTAATCCTGAGGGAATGAATGCTCCCAACCAGAATTTTGTTTTTCTATGGCCCACCCTCCAACCTAGACAGACAGAAAGACAGACAGACAGACACACACACACACACACACACTTTAGTCTCTTTTCATCTCACTCAGAATTCTAGAGCCATTTTGCTTTCTCGTCCTCCCAACTCTCCCCTTATCCAAAGTTGTTCTTTAAAAAGAAATCCAAAGTTAATTTACACTAAGGTCTAATAGACTGAGGATTGTTTAAAGTGTGACCCTCTTAGGATTATCTGAATTTATGTAGGAATCTGTATTCATACAATAGAATTAAGTTCTAAGATACTAATTCCAGATTTCAAACACTGAAAGGTATTTGGTGATATGGATTTTCCCTGGTAGGGACAAATAGCTTCACAGACAGTCTGGACTGGGGAGGATCAACCCTGTGCCTGTGTGTGTGTGTGTGTGTGTGTGTAAATAGATATGCACACACAATACATTTGTATATATCCATATATACATTTCCATTTAGCTGTGCACATTGAATCTGTGTTCCAAGCATAGTTTTTAAGCTATATGGTATGCAACCTGCTTTTGATAAGGAAGGAATCACTTAGCACCAATACTTAGTCATCTTAATACTCAAGTTTCCTCTACAAGCAATTTGCAAAGACAGCCTCTTCTAACTCTCTTGCAAAGAAGCTGGTTCCAGATCTGAAAACTGGAGTGTGTTTTGCTTGCCAATTAACGGCAAAGATTAGGCAGCTCTATGCAACAACTGATTGGAAACTCAAGTCTGCTTCTGTAGTGGTAAGAAAAATGATCTCAGAAAGGAAGCAGCAGAGAGCTGATTAAGAAAACACCATTTTGATGTAAAATCAAAGAAACACAGAATGTTAGCGCTGGAGGGAAGATTATCCAGTCCAAACCTTTCATTTTCCAGATGAGAAAACTGCCACTTTTTCAGCCTGCTAGAGCCATAAGTCGTCTGCCTCAGTCCAAGCTAATGGACTCAGAATATCTGCAATGCAGGGTTTCCATCTGTCTTTGTCTTTGTGGAAGTAGAATAGGTTTAGCGCCAAGCCTGCTTCACAAATCATAAGGAAAGAAAGAAGATCCCGAATTCATCTATATGTCACATCTCTGATATGGAGATACATTTGTTGATTTTTTTTTTTCCTCCTAAATTCCCAGCAGAACTTAGAGAATCTATCCTGCCTGTTTATTACATGAATCGGTCATCCTTGACCTCTCAATCAGTTTCATCTCCGTGTCCTATAATCATAATCATTAACCAGTAAATTGGGCTCAGAGATGGCCAGGTGCTGGAATTCAGCTAACCTCATAAATGAAATTGTGCCTACAACTCACCTCTCCTAGAAAGGAATGTGGGTGGTAGGAACGTAGATGGGTGGGTGGCAGCAAGACCCCTTAGCTGGTGCCCCTAGGGAGCTGAGTGGAGAGATAGGAAGAGAGTAGATAGTCGGATACAGATCAGGGTCTGTTGCAATGTATCTTGAAGCTACATTGCAGAACTTTGGTGGGGGGTAGTGGGGAGGAGTTTCTGGATAATTCAAGCCCTTGCAAAGCAGGAAAGCCCACTGAAGAGACAGAAGCAGTCCACAGCAAACAGGCCACACACATACAGTCACCACCTTTTTTTTTTTTTTTTTTTTTTTTGCTGTACGCGGGTCTCTCACTATTGTGGCCTCTCCTGTTGCGGAGCACAGGCTCCAGACACGCAGGCTCAGCGGCCATGGCTCACGGACCCAGCCACTCCGCGGCATGTGGGATCTTCCCGGACCAGGGCACAAACCTGAGTCCCCTGCATCGGCAGGCAGACTCTCAACCACTGCGCCACCAGGAAAGCCCCAGTCACAACCTTTAAATGACGATACAGTCACAGGTCACTGTGTACCAAGTGTGGAAACAAGCAGGAGTGTCGTTTCCACCACACCTACCCTCACTGAGGACCAAACCTGAGGTAATGCCATTGCCAAAAAACCACAGTGATGCAGCACCCATTAACACATTTGTGTCGAGGCTGGTATGTCAAGAGATCAAAATTTGTCCTGCAAAATGTAACCCCCAATGGTCACAGCATGACAGAAATACAGTTAACTAATCAGGCAGATTCATTTTGTACACTCTCCCTTCTTTCCACAGCAATATTGTCCCAGGGCTTCAGAACTCAAAATGTGATTTATTCTTCGCATTTGTCTTTCA